GACTGGTCAGAGTAGCTGGGAATGGCGGAGTTTGCATATAACAATAAAATGAACACGTCTACCAAAATATTGCCGTTCTATGCGAATCACGGATGTCACCCATCAAAGGGAGTGGAGCAGTGGATGGAATCAAGAAACGAGTTGGCGGAGGAGTTTGTAAAAAGAATCATAGAAATACAAGATGAAGCAAAAGCAGCACTAGAAAAAGCAAATGAAAAAATGAAAAAATACTACGATAAACAAAGAAAAGAAGTTCCGGAGTTGAAGGTTGGAATGAAGGTGTACATAGAAGGGAACAATATCGAGACGGACAGACCTTCGAAGAAGATGAGCAACAAGAGATTGGGGCCATACGAGATACTGGAGAAGGTTGGAGCGGCTGCATGGAAGCTGGATTTGCCGGACACGGACTGGAGAGACCCGGTGTTCAACGAGTCACTGTTGACACCCTATCATGAACCACCCCCACATTGCTGCGAGAAGAGACCCGTAGCCAAGATGATTGGAGGAGCAGAAGAGTGGGAAGTCAAAAAAATTGTGAAGGAATGAAACGTTGGCCGAGGGAAGCAGTACTTGGTCAAATGGAAGGGATGGCCGCATAGCAAAAATACCTGGGAACTATCATGTCATCTTACCCATGCAAAGAAGGTCCTGAGAGATTGTCAGAGGAAACAATCCAACCCAGACACATGCATTTGCCTCCTGCCAACGCTCGAAGCCAGACACTGGGACTATCTCATTCACCGCTACAAACCCAGAGATGAGTGCCTTCCATATCCCCAACGACAACTCTTTGACCTGTACAAAAACGTCTTTACAACCATTGGCCCAGTCAGTGAGGACATCAGCCCTAGAGAGGGGGTAATGTCATAGTTCGGCCACTTTTTCATCTTATCATCAACAATCTTATCTTATCTTGGCATGGATTATCTTATCGCAGGTCATGGCACCTGACGGTCCAGGCTAGGGGTCTGAGGATTATCTTTATTGATTCAAGGCTGCACAACATATGCTCTAGAAGGTTCTACCACAACCCATGACCAGTGCTCCATGCAGTACATAGTCTCATGACTCATGAGTTGTAGATATGACTCAGACTGGATTTGGGTATAAATACTGTAGCTACTTGGTTGTATTCCCCAGTCTTTGAATTCACTTCTCTTTTTGACATTATTTCTTGTTGATTGTCACAAAGTGAATTTGAAGACTGAGGAATACAACCAAGTAGCTACAGTATTTATACCCAAATCCAGTCTGAGTCATATCTACAACTCATGAGTCATGAGACTATGTACTGCATGGAGCACTGGTCATGGGTTGTGGTAGAACCTTCTAGAGCATATGTTGTGCAGCCTTGAATCAATAAAGATAATCCTCAGACCCCTAGCCTGGACCGTCAGGTGCCATGACCTGCGATAAGATAATCCATGCCAAGATAAGATAAGATTGTTGATGATAAGATGAAAAAGTGGCCGAACTATGACATTACCCCCTCTCTAGGGCTGATGTCCTCACTGACTGGGCCAATGGTTGTAAAGACGTTTTTGTACAGGTCAAAGAGTTGTCGTTGGGGATATGGAAGGCACTCATCTCTGGGTTTGTAGCGGTGAATGAGATAGTCCCAGTGTCTGGCTTCGAGCGTTGGCAGGAGGCAAATGCATGTGTCTGGGTTGGATTGTTTCCTCTGACAATCTCTCAGGACCTTCTTTGCATGGGTAAGATGACATGATAGTTCCCAGGTATTTTTGCTATGCGGCCATCCCTTCCATTTGACCAAGTACTGCTTCCCTCGGCCAACGTTTCATTCCTTCACAATTTTTTTGACTTCCCACTCTTCTGCTCCTCCAATCATCTTGGCTACGGGTCTCTTCTCGCAGCAATGTGGGGGTGGTTCATGATAGGGTGTCAACAGTGACTCGTTGAACACCGGGTCTCTCCAGTCCGTGTCCGGCAAATCCAGCTTCCATGCAGCCGCTCCAACCTTCTCCAGTATCTCGTATGGCCCCAATCTCTTGTTGCTCATCTTCTTCGAAGGTCTGTCCGTCTCGATATTGTTCCCTTCTATGTACACCTTCATTCCAACCTTCAACTCCGGAACTTCTTTTCTTTGTTTATCGTAGTATTTTTTCATTTTTTCATTTGCTTTTTCTAGTGCTGCTTTTGCTTCATCTTGTATTTCTATGATTCTTTTTACAAACTCCTCCGCCAACTCGTTTCTTGATTCCATCCACTGCTCCACTCCCTTTGATGGGTGACATCCGTGATTCGCATAGAACGGCAATATTTTGGTAGACGTGTTCATTTTATTGTTATATGCAAACTCCGCCATTCCCAGCTACTCTGACCAGTCCATCTGATGGTAATTGTCGTAGATGCAGAGATAATGCTTGATCTCGTGATTCATGTGCTCTGTTTGCCCATCCATGATTGGGTGATATGCGGTCCCTGGATTTATTTCCATGCCCAACATCCAATTTGTCTCCTTCATGAAGCCCTTGATGTATTGGGAGTCCCTGTCAGTGATAATCTTGCAAGGGATCCCGTGATAGCGGAAGACCCAGTCCCGAGTTAGCCGTGCTACTCCTTTGCTAGTGATGTCAGTACTGATTGGTTCCACATGAATCATTTTTGTGAGGGTGTCACACCACACATGAATCGCATCATACCCATTGCTGACCGGTAGAGGTCCAATTTGATCCATTGAGATGATTTCCCATGGGGCACTTGGTACCGCGTGTGGATGCAGAGTTCCTGTCCTCGCCCTCTTCATCTTTGTCCATTGGCATGCCTTGCACGTCTGGATGTATTTTCGGATCTGATTTCCCATCCTTGGCCACCAATAATTCCTTTCCACCATTTCCTGCGTCCGGTTGATCCCCGCGTGTCCGACAAGAGGCGTGTCGTGATGTAGTCCAATGATCTTGTCTCGTAGCTCCTCGTCCCTTGGTACGTAGAGCTTTCCGTGATACGTGATAAGTCCATCTTCCTTTTTCCATCCGGGGAGAGACTTCTCCAATGCTGCCTTGACGCTTCCATCAATCGATCGAATGGTCTTGATCTCATCGGTCAGCTGTTGATCCTGTCCCTTGAATATGACTTCTTGTGATCGGAACAGCTCGGGCTTCAACAAGGTGATGTCCTTGTTGTCGTTCTTGCCTTGGTCGTGATCCGCCCATCATGATAGGAGATCTGCCTTGCAGTTGAGTGCGCCGGGCCAGTGTCGTAAGGTGAAATCAAATTCCGCTAATTCTGTGATCCATCATGCTTGCCGTTGGTTGAGCTTTTGTGGCTTCCGGAAGTACTCAAGATTCTGATGATCGGTGAAGATCTCGAATGTTTCCGTGGCTCCCAGGAGTAGCTGCCTCCATTCATCAAGCGATAACATGATTGCAAGCATTTCCTTGTCATAGATCTCGTAATTTTGCTTGGTTTCAGTCCATGCATGTGAGATAAACACGATTGGTGCCAAATGTTGTCTTGTTTTTGGCTCAAAACAGAGCCTGTTGCCCCTTCCGAAGCATTGGCTTCCAGATGATATTGGCCAGTGTCATTTGGCAGTGCTAAGACCGCATCCTCTGCAATTCTCTTCATCAATCCATCAAATGCCGCATGCTTGTCCATACCCCATGACCATCCTGCCTTCCCTGTCAGCCGTGTTAATGGTTTGGCCACCTCTGCATATCCCCGAACGAAGCGTCGATAGAAGTTGGTGAACCCCAGGAATGCTTTGACTTGTTTGACACTCTTTGGTTCAGGCCATTCTATCATGCCCTTGATCTTGACTGGGTCCATCCACATTGAGTTGTGTCCAATAATTACACCCAGATACTCAATTTCTGTGCGTTCAAACTCGCACTTTTCCGGCTTCAGGTACAGTTTGTGCTTTTGCAGCAACTCGAGTACCTGTTTGGTGATTCATCGATGTTCATCCAGATTATCTGTGAAGATCAGTATATCGTCCAGATAGACCATAACATGTCACTTGTTGATTAGTTCCCGTAGGATGTTGTTCATCATGTTCTGGAACATTGCTGGCGAATTTGTCAGTCCAAAGAACATCACTAATGGTTCATATAGACCGCAATTTGTCCAAAATGCGGCCTTCCATTCATTGCCCTCCTTGATCTGTACATTGTTGTACCCCCACCAGATGTCTAATTTTGTGAAGAATTTGGCGTCGCAAAGGTTATGAACCAGTTCAGAGATCAGTGGCAGCAGGTATTGATTTCGGATTGTCATCTCATTCAGCTTCCGATAATCTTGGATGGGACGTAGCTAGCCATCCTTCTTCTTGACAAAGAAGAATGCTGATGCCATGGGTGATTTTGATGGCCGGATCTGTCTGCTGGCCAGATTCTCTTGTAAGAACTCATCCAGTTTGACCTGCTTGTTTTGCGATAATGGGTACACCTTGCAGTCCACTGCTTTGGAACCAGGTTTGAGCTCAATTGCATGATCCCATGCTTGCCGGTCCGGCAGCGAGTCAAATGATTCCTTGGCAAATACTTTGTCAAATTCCCAGTACTGATCCGGAATCTTCCCCTTGGTCATTCTCTCCTTCTCTTTTTCCGCTTCTTCTGCAAACTTCTGTGCCAGTGTTTCCTTCAGCTGTAAATTCACTTCCTTCCCAAAGTCAACCAACAGGATTGATTCTCCCTCTTCCAGATCCGGTGCGCCCATGTCTAGGTCGATTGCATCCATCTCGATCATTGCTTGGTGCTCCTTGTGACCCCTCATGTGACACCAATCTGGGCATCACTTGAATCTCATTGTCTGCTCCTGCCAATCCACCTTGGGGTTGTGTTCCATCAGCCAATCAAGACCAATGAAGATCCAAGCTTTCCCTAGACACGTCAGAAGGAATGTGTGTGTCTCCACATGAGGACCAATTCTCATCCTCAAGTCAACGTAATGCATGATCTGACCGCTATGTTCTTGGTGTTGTCGGCATTACGAGCCACAATGGGTTGTGGAAGCTCCTGGATATCTAGTTTCTCTGCTCATGTGTAGTCGGTGTCAATGCAGCAGGTACTGCAGCCACTATCAAGCAGTGCCTTGACTCTGCGCGTTTTTCCTGAGTCCAGGCCCATGATCTGGACATATACGTCCATGGAATGCCTCTTCCTCTCTGCCTGATAGTTGCGCAACTCCTGTGCCAATCTGCTGGGTGGGGGACCCTTCTGTTTCTCAGCCGCCAATTTCCTCTGGACGGCATCTGGCACCCTGGTGCGTTTGGGTGCTTCTGGAATCTTGATTTTGGTAGATTCCTTAGGCGCTTCCTCCTTTTCCAAGGATTGAGCCTCTGGAGCAATGCTCCCCTTTTTGGTCTTTGTTGATGTGGTCCCTTCTCCACAAGCCATAAATATGTAGGAGTCCAATAATTTATCTGCAGCCGCTATCTTTTGATCCTTTTTATCTTGTAAATATTTCCTATTTAGAGTTATTTTTTCTTTTCGTTCTTTTTCCATCTCAGCAACAAGAAATTGTGAATATTAGTATGTAGTGAGTCGGGGAGCATGTATGTATGGTGAGGAATATTGTTTGTATCTTTAATCGAAACAAGTACAGAAAATCATCCATAGTCTGGACGCTCCATGTCCTTGGCTAGAGGAGTGGAGTGCTTTAAAAACCCTTCTCGCACAGCTTCTTGGTGATCTCCTCGAGGAACTTGTTGTCCTTGTCCCCATTCTTGATTTCTTCAAGCATCGTGGCCCAATTGAAGAATGTGCGCTTCTTCCTTGGCTCTGGACAGTTCCACGCAATGTGCCCAGGTTGCTGACAGTTGTAACAGATGATATTGCGACCGCGGGCATGGGTGCAATCAATGTCTATTGGAACTGGTTTGTTGGCAGCGGGTTAGGCCGGAGTGGGTGCAGGCATTGCGGGGGCAGTCTGTATTGCGAGGAATCGCTGGCTACACCCGTAACTGGGAGTTTGACAGAAGCTGTCAAATAGACCCGCAGAGCCGGCGCCGGCGTATGGACGCGGCGTCTTGACGCAAGGGCTTTTTTCCTCAGTACTGTCACCCAAGTACTGAGGTAAGCTCAGTACTGTCACCCAAGTACTGAGTAACTATCTACACTGTCTAGGTTCTAACAGTCTGAGGGCGGAATTGGGGAGGTGGTCATGGCGTAGAGTGCCCATACGACACTTTGCACAGCTGGTCGCGCAGAGCGTTTGGCTCGATGTTGATACACCAGTCCTTGAAGGCTCCATATGCTTTGGGCAGAGGAATGCCGGTGTTGTAGAGGCGACTGGCAATTTTGCTGCTGAGCCCGCACTTGAGGAACTCGATCAGAATATTGTCCTGATCCCCTTTCTTGTATTTGCCCTTGTCATTGGTGGTGGTGACCACATTGTATCCCGCATCTGCTGCCAACATCTCAAAGTCAGAGATATAATCCACGAAGGATTGTTTGCTCTGGTGCAGAGCCACAAGTTGAGCAGCAGCAACTTGTTCTGCGTGGTATCCCCAAAGGCTCTCTGAAGCTCCTCCATGAAGGTCATCGAGGTGACCCCAGCCTTTATCCCCTTAGGGCCTTTGAAGTTGCGCTGTTTCCAGTTCATCACCCATCTTGAGGCAGCGCAGCTTGTGCCAGCCTTGTTGCGGAGGTAGGAAAGGATGAAGAGGATTTTTGTCTTATCCTGCGAGAATTCCGACTGATAGGCACCAATGTAGGTGGTGCACAAGTCCACAGAGCCCATATATTTGGATTTGTTGCCATTGAAGTAGGGGGGGTTGGCGGCAAGGGTGATGCAATGTCCCATCAGGGTACAAGCGGGTGTAGTAGGCGGAGGTGTGGGTGGTTGCTCAAAGGGCAGTTTGTCAAGGTCGGGGATCTTGTCTTCAGGAGGCAGGAGGACAAGGTAAGGACTGGAGGATCCAGGTTGGTTTTGATGCACCAGATTGGGCAACGATGGTACAATGGGGGGAGGAGACCGACTCCCAGACAATGATGGGAATCATTACAAAATGGTGGATTTGTGTGCTGTACAAGCACTCGAGGAGGGGTACTTTTGCTAGCAAAAAGATTCTGGGCCTAACTCTTCACGTGCGCAATGATCCTGAGGTGCATTTTCCCAAAGTTCTCCGCAGCACTCCTTGTAGCTGCTGTAAGGCTTGGGTCGGGCTCAATGTTACCTGTGGCCGGGTACAGTTTGCTTGATATGAACCCTTCACTGTGATTGCAGGGAACAACTAGATGATTCAGTAAAAAGGTGAGTTTGTTGATATGGGTTAAGAGGATATAGCAGGCGTAGCGGTGAGGGATGCAGTGGTAAGAGGTATGAGGTAGGAGGGTATGAGGGGAGTCTTCGAATTATGTGACAATCAACCCAAAAACAAGTCGAAAAGAGAAGTGTGTCATAGTTCAGCCACTTTTTCATCTTATCTTCAACAATCTTATCTTATCTTGGCACAAATTATCTTATCGCGGGTCACAGCACCTGATGGTCCGGGCTAGGGGTCTGAGGATTATCTTTATTGATTCAAGGCTGCACGACATATGCTCTGGAAGGTTCTACTACAACCCATGACCAGTGTTCCATACGGTACATAGCCTTATGACTCATTAGTGGTAGATATGACTCAGACTGGATTTGGGTATAAATGCTGTAGCTACTTGGTTGTATTCCCCAGTCTTCAAATTCACTTCTCTTTTTGACTTTGTTTTTGGGTTGACTGTCATAGTATCGAAGATATTGGTTGAGACACCATTGTTTGCTATATATAAATTCTTGCGCGTCAACTCCATCTTCCATGACTATTAGATCCCACATCTATTGAGAGTTGTGACACTAGTGTTCTGTTCACCCTGAAGCCCTCGCACCTTTCATACACTGAGAAGCTGATTACAAGGAGTGTGAACATGTTTATATTTGGGTTTACTTTCACAGTAGATTCACTTGTGAGCATGCCCTCAGCTTTTCAACGTGATTTGACAAGCACCAATGAACTCACTGAGTATTTCAAACTTAATCCAGCAAAGGACAACTTTGACTCTTGTGATCCTATTGTGCAGTGGATCAAGCATCGAGACAAATATCCAAAGCTCTCAAAGCTGGCACTGGAGATCCTGTCCATTCCTGGCACATGTATCTCAGCTTCTTTCCACCTGACAGCTCACAATGATGACGGGATCTACCATTGCAGTTGAGCGCATTTTCTTGGAAGAACATGATACAATCAGTCTCAGGAGATCAAGACTCAAAGCAGGGACAATTTGTGCCTTGATGCTGGTCAAGAATCGACTTAAGATGGCACACAAGGACATCAAACTAGCATTGGGCAAATAGCAAGGATTTAGACAGCATAACTTGTGTATCAGGTAAAAAGTGACTATCATTCACGCAATTGGACACGTTGGATCAGGATTGACCCAATTAAACCCCTGTATACGGGACCATACCATGCCGTCAGCAACACTGAAGGATGTCATTACAGTACGGATACAGCACAATCCGTACTGTAACTTGCCATAAGAATTATGGCCGTAACTGTATACGGTACGGCACCCATCCCTAGTTATGAACCCCCTCCCCATAGGCCCTACCAGGGGGTATCTACTGGGTACCCTCAGCACTACATCTGAGAGTACCCAGTAGGACCCCTGCAGAGGTGCAACTGGGTGATGGCACTGGTAACTGAGGTGGCCAGTCTTGTACCTAGCTACCCATTCATTCACCTTTGGATCCTCCCTTGCCAGAACTCTGAGGTTGGGTCTCAAGGTTGCCATCACATAATGAGTCATAAGACTATGTACTGCATGTAACACGGTGTTGGCCAGCATTGTGGCTGTAGCTGTCAAGGAGTCAACCTTGAAGATACTGAGGACTTACCACAGCCACATCAAATCTGATAGATGGCATCATGGGACATATCATATGACTACATCCTGTATCATATAAAAGGAGGGCTCTATTACCCTTTAATACAAGTCTCTTGACTACTCCCACATAGTGCCCACACTAAGCTCTCACTCACACAGGTGGGTTGCTAGACGCTCTCCTCAGTGCTCAACAGGTTATGGGCCCCAAGAGCTATGTCTGCGCCTCAGTGGCCGCGACATTTATTGTATGCGCTGTCACTGGCTGCAACAATGAGCAGCGTCTTTAGCCAATCTGTATTCACTTCAGCTGCTGCATAGCGCTGGTGAAACCATGCCAGATTGCGATTATATCACTTCATCCAGATGCATCAATCTCTAAAGGAGATTATGATCTATGAGGATCTGATCATCTTGATCTTTGATTTTATCTATCAAGATTAGATTGATGCTGATTTACTCACACAGATCAATATGTGTTCCAACTCCAACAACATCTTCAATGCTGTCTCCATCTTCGATGGGAAGCACTGGCTTGTATGGTCCGGAACTATGGAGTCCTACCTGGAGCATCAGGGGATCTCATATGTGCTGACCAAAACCATTGATAGGTTGGCTACCAGACGCGCTCTGCACCAGCTCTATAAGGGCGTATTTTTGCGCTTTTACAGAGTTTACTCTCAAACCACTTGGTGTATTGTGTCGCGGTTAACAGTGTTGCACTCAGTGGGGCTTAAGGGTCTACTGCCCAGTCAACAACTATGGATAGTGTCGACGATAGCAAGGCAGTCTGACCACTACTGTGGAACTGGTCTTATGAGTCTATATCAGGCTCAGGGCCATTAGTGACGAATGCTTGGACCGCGACAATTCCCCAAAAAGGGGATACTTTGTTGCGGCGACTCCTCAAAAGGGTCATTCTCTGCAGATGGGAACTTGGTCTGAAGAGCTTAGCAATGCGCAACATTCTCAATATTACAACTACTACTGGACAGGACTTGGTGTTACGAGATTGAACCAATCTTGTCGTGGCAACTCCTGGCTTTGGGTTGGACGTTTCCTCAGATCATGCCATGGCGACGACTTGTCACATGTCAGGATCCACTCAATCACAGGACATTGTGGACGCGTCACGGTGACACTTCCAAGTGTCACGGCAAGTCGCGCCCATACCCAAGCACATCAAAAGCGACACAGGCTAGATCCGTGAACCAAACCATGTGAGGAACGTCTGGCGTGCCTAGGGCCATATGGCTTCTTGGGGCACCCACATTGGACTCACTTGCCAAGACATACCCATCAGCCAATCCAACTTGTCGTATTCCAGAAGTATGACGTGGTGGGTTGACCCACATCAAAAGTACCATATGGACAATGGGGCGGGGTCCTGATCAGTCAGGACCTGTCTGATTGTTCAACTTTTTCATTACCATGAAAAGCAACTGATCTTAGATAGCGTAGCTACTATGCAGTTATACAGGACTTTACTAAGCACCGTCTTAGACAGTATAAGTAGCGCGTTGTTTCTTTGTATTGGGGAGCCTTCCCCCAGACTGTGAATCATACCCATATCAGATTGTTTTGTGCAATTTGCGTGTCGCGTGATTCCACCCTAAGAAGTTCTGTTACCCCTGCCCGGTCGCGACGAGTTGCTCCCTGAGCACTTGTAGCTACTGTGATTTGAGTTTGAGTTTGAGGTATCAGAAAGTCGGATTTGCCACTTCTGGTTTAGTTGCGGCACTTAGTGTCAATGCCTTTGGGCTTTGTTGAGATCGTTTCCACACCTCTAGTTTGGCAGTGCGTCAACTAGTTGTGCTCGGGTTGTTTTGGTCAGTTGGCAGTGCGTCAACTTGATATTTGGGCTTTGCGTTGCCATCTGGATGCTGTCGCTACAAGAGATCTTGATACTTCGTATTAAGCTCTGACTTGTGATATTGTTGGTTGTAGTTGAATTAGTGTTGGTTTTCGCTGTATTGAAGATATTGGTTGAGACACCATTGTTTACTATATATAAATTCTTGTTGTTGACTTTGTCTCCCGCGACTATTGATGTGCGTCTATTGAGAGTTGTGATACTAGTGTTCTGTTCACCCTGAAGCCCTTGCATCTTTCACACACTGAGAAGCTGATTACGAGGAGTGTGAACGTGTTTATATTTGGGTTTACTTTCATAGTAGATTCACCTGTGAGCGCGCCCTCAGCATTTCACTGTGCCAACCAAAGTCAAAGCATCTGATGGCTCTGTGTCCAACGCATCGGAGATCAAGCCATGGAAGCACAATGACCTCAGAGCAAAAGGCAGCATTAAGTTGCGCCTGACTGAAGGTGTCATTGCTAAGGCTCTGTTCGGTAACCGATGATGTTGAGGATGAGAATGATATTGATACCGCATTTTACTATAACGAGTAGATAGCTGTGCACTGAGTCAGCAGTGACTGATGTGACTATACGCGTTGTTTTCCCACCACGCACACATGGCCAAAAAACACGACGCGCTCGCGTCTCCATCCCCACCGCCGGCGACGAGCCTCAATGACAAAGAAGACGATATAGTCGAACTCTCTGGACCCCCCGAGCCCACTGGTGACCAGGCAATCTGGAATGACGCTGAGATAAAAGAGCTCTTGGAGCAGCTCGTCGAGCATAAATCCAGCGCTGGGCAGGGCGGCAACTTCACCAAGGACACCTTCAATACAATTGCCCGACAGGTAGACAAGCACCGGACAGCTGGAGCGCAGAAGACGGGCGCGATGTGTACTACCAAGTACTGTACTGTATGTGATCATCACCAGACTCTGCTCTCCTCTGATAATGCTCTGGCAGCTTCCCGATACCCACAAGACCATCAACCGTATCCGGAAATGGTCCTCGGGCATGCATTTCGACAACATGAAGGGCGCAAATATCGACGCGACGACGAAACCTGTGTGGGACACCTTGGAGAAGAAGTATCCGGCTGTGGGTCCTTTCCGGAACGCGGGATGGGCTTGGCTGTCCTGGATGGATCAGCTAAACACCAAGGCTACATCGGGGTCTCACGTTCGCTATCAAGGAACCAGCAAGTTTGCGGCCGGTGTCAATAAGAAGCCTGAGGTCGAACAGAAGACGGCGACAAAGATCAAAAAGAAGACGGTGATGAAGACCGAGCGCTTGGGCAGCCCGGCCTGGATCATCGAGAACAGGGGCTCCCTTCCGGAAGATGACACTGTGGTCACGGCCCCGGCATCTCGTGAGGCTGTGAGTTCTATCGCGTGTACTCAATAGTGTTGTCACTGATCATGCTCTAGTCTCCGGCTCCCACCCAGTCCTCTGCTCTGTCCGCGGCTGTTGCTGCAGTGACTGCGACACCTGTTGCAACCCAACACAAGCGGGCTTCAAGCGGTTTGACCCCCTCGACGGAACCTCTGAAGTGTTCGCGAGGATCCGAAGGTTCGCGCGCCTTGGCCGCCCTCGCGGAAACAAGCCACAAGTTTGTGGACATCTTCGGTGACGTGCGAGATGTCTTGGCAGCGCCCCAGGGCTCCAGCGTCCAGCTCTCCCCTCAGCGTCGCATGAACGCCATGGAACGCACGCAAAAGCTCGAGACTCATCTCAGCAACAATGATTTGGCCATTCTTATTGACATCCTAGGCGAAGCAAATAAGGCAGACACATACAACATGCTTCAGAACAATGGTCTTTGTATCAGCTGGGTCAACAAGCAGCTTCGGGAGCATTCGGCCAAGCATGCGAGCGGAAACGTTGATCTCTTTTCGGGACATCTCTTCAACGGGAACACCAGAACATTTGGTGGCAACAATTCATTTGGTTGTGGTTTCAATAGACAAAACATGGGCCTTTAGATAGATAGATAGATACTCATTATAAATAGACTATTGTTGAGCAGCGAGACGGCAAGCCTCTGCGTCACGGCGGCGAGCCTCAGCATGGTAATCATCCCACATGGCTTGTGCAATATCATCCCGGTGTCTTTCGGACCGTGTCTTCTCTGCAGTTGAGATAGGACTCTCTTGGAGAGCACCCACATCAACTTCTCCGGTTCGAACACCAGGATTGGGGTCCTCAATGTCCTCATCGGCCATTGCCTCCTTCTGCTCCTTCGAATCGTTCATCAGAATGAAATTGTGAAGGGCTGCCAGTGCGAGAGGTATTTGGGCTTGGACACCCATGCTGAACTGAGGTGCCCGAGTGAGAATTCCCCATCGCTTCTTCATAACTCCGAAAATCCGTTTGATGACGTTCCGCAATTGTGCGTGCCGGTAATTGAAGAGTTCTTGTCAATTCACTGGTCTGTACAGGACATGTTTTGGTCAAGACAAGAGAAACATATAAACCCAGAAACGCACCGAAGATCGGTTCGCTTCCATTCTGCAATATGATAACGAACACCACAGTAGGGAACAAGTGCAGCATCACAAGTCGCAAAACCTGCATCAGCCAGATAGTACTTTCCAGGAGGTACATGGAAATCATGGATGCGGGCATCATAATACAGAGCTGCATCTGCCACGGAGACTTCCCAGCCGCTCAGCATATAGAGGAATCTCATCTCTAGCGAACAGGCAGCAAGATTGTTCATGGAGACGCCACCCTTGCGGTCACGCGTGGCCTCGCGGTCTGCAGCTGAAGGGGCACAGTTGATATGTGTGCCATTGAGGGCTCCGATTGCATCTTTGAAGTATGGATAGTAGCGGGGATTGTTTTGGATGATGCTCGAGACACTCTCGGTCGCTTTGGGTAGCATGACATATGTCTGGTAGAACATCGTGTCCACAATTGCAGAAAGCGTCGAACGGAAGTACTCACGGGTTCAAAAAGTAATGGTCACTCCGTGATTTCTCTACATATTTGGGCCAAGAAAAGTACATTATTACAACTTAGAAATGTGTATGACCTCCCTCCGCATCTAATACAGCCTGTACGCAGTCAATCATCCGTCCAGTATGTTTGTTGATGTCATCAATTGGCATTGCATCCCACTCCTCCATGATGGCGGCTTTCAGCATCTCGAAAGATGTAGGACGCGGTTGGCGACATCTGACACGCTTCTTGAGCTCATGCCAGACTGGTTCAATGGGTGAAACGTCAGGCGAACAGGCAGGGTGTGGGAAAAGATGGACTTTGTGACGTTTCAGCCAGTCACAAGTTGACTTGGCAGTGTGACAGGACGCGCCGTCCTGCTGGAAGTAGATGCGGATGCATCGGCCGCGTTCTTCGCGAAGCGTCTTCATGGTGTTGAGAAGATACTTGTCGAGGACCTGTTGTTGGTACCGCTTCGCCGTCATGCCACCGCCAGGGCCTCCTGGGTACTTCAAAACCACAAGCGGCCCTTTCCATCCATGAGCAATACATCCCCACACCATAACACGCACCGATGAGTCCTTCAGCTCTGGGACAAGACAGTCCTGATCATAAACCTCCTCCACTGTGCGCGTCACCCAGATCCGGCCTGAGCTCTCTGTCAAATGGATGTAACATTCGTCCGACCACAGAATCCGCTCCCACCCTTGCATCCGCATCCCCTCGTTTCGACGTGCCCAAGCCATCTGATCCTCCTTGTGCTTCTCCGTAAGGTATGGGACATGCCGCGCAACCCGTCGGTGCATCCCCACACCATCCAAGACATTGGCAACCGTTGTCGCGCCCACAGGCGGATCTATCATGTCGCCAATGTCACAAAATGGTAGCCGCCGGTTCTCTCGCGCTGTTTCCACCATCTCGGACTCCATCTCTGGTGTAACCTTTTTCGGACGACCACTCTTGGGTCTGTCGGACACGGATCCGGTCTCGCGATACTTCTTCCAGATCTTTCGCACAGTGTGGAAGGGAATGTTGAAGGTCCTTGAGTGCTTTGTGAGTTGTGAATCTGCTATCATGGCACCAACAAACTGGTTTCGCTTCTCGTCAGAGTGGTAGGGATGAGATTTAGATTTTGGCATGGTAGTTAGGTAGAAGACGGTGTGTAGTCTACGTGACATCAATCTCAGGCCACATGACGGCGTTGGTGGAGCGCACAGCTCCAAATGATGCAGTGACCATTATATTCTGATCGCGCGAGTATCTATCAAATATGAGACTGGAGATTAGAGCGCGATAACAGCAATAAATACTTGGATATGGTCTCGTTTGAACACTGGAACCTTTCGCCGACGTGTCGCACTGAAAGGCTGGTCACACACATGTACAGAAATATCGCAATCTGCTCCTCGAGTGTCACATAACAAGAGTCTTTGAGCCCCGCCACCAGACTGAGCTGCAAAACAAGGGACTCGAAGACCTCCTTGCGCATGCCGAGCTCTGTTCGGATGCGCTCAGGATGCCCGTTTAGAAGTTCCTGGACCCAGGCATGGCCACTGAGCGCGGAGGTGTGGTATTCTTGATGCCTGTACAACGGCGTCGCAAAAGCGGTGACAGCTGATTGGATTAGGGTGAAGAACATAACGGCATAGAGGACAATCTTGATACAAACTGCGTCGGTGATTGCAGCGTGCAAGGGCGGCATCCTGGGCGAGAACGCGACGCGACGCGTCGACACGTAAGCTGAGAGCGTCCCAAAAAGGTTGTCACGCCGGAGATCATCAGGGCACAGCTTTGTGCAGAGCTATCTACTTGTTATAGTAAAATGCGGTATCAATATCATCCTCATCCTCAACATCATTGGTTGCCAAACAGAGCCTAACATTCCAACTGCCAAAATAGTGTCAGCTGCAAAGATCTGGGGGCATCTGAAGACCCAATACGGTGGTGCTCAGTGTGCCAACCTGTACGTGTACTTCCAAGCCGCATTGAACGCAAAGTACAACGTGGGGTTGCACCCAGATCCACAGCTGCTGGTGATCACTACAGCGTTCACTCGCCTGGAGAATGAGTCTTTAAGCATCCCTGAGTTCCTCAGGGCAATGATCATTCTCAATATAGCTTGGATTCCCTCTGTCACTGAGACTGTTCTGCAGACTTATGACAAGGACAAGATCAAAGTCTCGGTGGTTTGCGACACTCTCTTGATGCATTTTGCTCAGAAGCAGTCTCAAAGCCAGAATCATGTGGCCAAGTTCAATTCCAAGCGCAAGCGCGATGGCCCTTCATTCACCAATCAGCAACAGGGCTCTGGCTCTGCACCCGATATAGGTGATAAGGCTGATGGAAAGAAGAAGAACCGTCGAGGCAAGCGCAGTGGGAAGAACAAGGACAACAAGGGCAAGGGCAAGGCTGATCATGGTCATGTCCATGGAGTCTCCAAAATCACTGGCTCTCTCACTATTGGTTCAATCGCCTCGCTCACTCTGTCTATTCCTGCGCCAATTATCTCGCATGTCACACACATCTCTCGCGATGGACCCAAAATCTGTGCAGTTCAAGAGAAGTCTCCCATTAACAACAATGGGATTATTGACACCAAGTTCCAGAAGCCTACTCGCAAGGTCTTCGAGCTTGCCAAGAAGACAGATGTGATGGTAACCGCAGAACGCTTCCGGACTCTTGACAAGATTGTCAATGAGAAAGGAATGCTCCGAGAGGATGCAATTATGCGTTCTCCATCTCCGGTTGCTTCCGGCTTGAATCACACTCTGGATGGTGGTCCTCCTGCAAAATGCAGTTGTATTGAGGAGATCCCCGACATTGAGATGGCCACCGGCCAACAGAACGATCTTGATCTTCTGTTTGGAGATAGCAAGTTTGCCCAGGCTGAACCAGTCAATTGGGATGAGGTCGTCGACTTCAGCACCCTTCTGGAGGAGATGGACACTCCTTCCGCCAAAAGGCAAGTACCTTGCCTTCTTGGGCACATGCACAATTCTGATTGTTGCTCACAGCCAGAGCGTGTAATCACCGCCGCCCCGGTGAAATGCTGAGGGCGTGCTCACAAGTGAATCTACTATGAAAGTAAACCCAAATATAAACACGTTCACACTCCTCGTAATCAGCTTCTCAGTGTGTGAAAGATGCGAGGGCTTCGGGGTGGACAGAGCACCAGTATCACAACTCTCAATAGACGCAGATTCAATAGTCGCGGGAGACGAAGTCGACGGCAAGAATTTATATATAGGAAACAATGGTGTCTCAACCAATATCTTCTATACGATCACAACTAACACTAATCCAATCCACAACAACAATATAACAAGTCAGAGCTTAATACGAAGTATTAAGATCCCTTGTAGCGACAGCGTCTAGATGGTGACACAAACCCAAATATCAAGTCGACGCACTGCCAACCGATACAACCAATATACTGAGTCGACGCACTGCCAACTAGTAAACTCAAAATGTCGAGTCGACGCACTGCCAACTGACACAACCAAAAGTACTGAGTCGACGCACTGCCAACTAGTAAACCAAAATGCCGCGTCGACGCACTGCCAACTAACAGCCAATATCCAATGTCCAAAAACCCGAGCACAACTTGTCGACGCACTGCCAAGCAAGAAGTGTGGAACCAAAGTTCTCAAGTCGACGCACTGCCAACTGACCAAAACAACCCGAGCACAACTAGTCGACGCACTGCCAAGCTAGAGGTGTGGAACGATCTCAACAAAGCCCGAAGGCGACGACACTAAATGCCGCGACTATACCAGATGCGGCGAATCCGACTTTCTGATATCTCAACTCAAACTCAAATCACAGTAGCTACAAGTGCTCAGGGAGCAACTCGTCGCGACCGGGCAGGGATGGCAGAACTTCTTAGGGTGGAATCACGCGGCACGCAAATTGTACAAAACAATCTGAAATGAGAGTGATTCACAGTCCGGGAAAAAGCTCCCTAATACAAAGAGACGACGTGCTACTTATACTGTCTACGACGCTGCTTAGTAAAGTCCTGTACAACTGCATAGTAGCTACGCTATCTAAGATCGGTTGCCTTTTAGGGTAATTGAAAAGTTGAACGATCGGACAGGTCCTGAGTGATCAGGACCCCGCCCCATAGTCCATATGATACTTTTGATGTGGGTCAACCCACCGCGTCATACTTTTGGAATACGACGTGCTGGATTGGCCAACGGGTATGTCTTGGCATGTGAGACCAACGTGGGCGCCCCAAGAAGCCGTATGGCTCTAGGCACGCCAGTCGCCTCCCACATGGCTCGGTTCACGGATCTAGCCGTATCGATTTTAGTGTGTTTGAATATGGGCGCGACTCGCCGTGACACTTGGAAGTGTCGCCGCGACGCGTCCACAATGTCCCGTGATCGAATGGATCCTGACATGTGACAAGTCGTCGTCGTGGCATGATCTGAGGAAACGTCCAACTCAAAACCGGGAGTTGCCGCGACAAGATGGTTTAAGTCTTGTAACGCCAAGTCCTGTCCAGTAGTAGTTCTATTATTGAGAACGTCGCGCATTGCTCAGCCCTTCAGCCCAAGTTCTCATCTGCAGAGAATGACCCTTTTTGAGAAGTTGACGCAACGACATATCCCTTTTTGGGGAATGGTCGCGGTCCAAGCGTTCGTCACTAATGGCCCTGAGCCTGGTGTAGACTCATAAGACCAGTTCCACAGTAGTGGCCTGACTGCCTTGCTATCGTCGACACTATCCACAGTCGTCGACTGGGCAGTAGACCCATAAGTCCTACTGAGCGCAACACTGTTAACCGCGACACGATACACCGAGTGGTTGAAGAGTAAACTCTGTAAAAAGCGCAAAAATACGCCCTTACAGAGCTGGTGCAGAGCGCGTCTGGTAGCCAGCCTATCATCTCCCAGGAACACTAATTTTGACCTCCTGGTCAATCCCGCGACAGTCTCACTGCGTCAGGTCTAAGTCCAACAGTCGACGTCTCGCTCATTTATTATTAAAGCCGCGGAGACATAGAGTTATGTTCCCACGTCTTATTCATTTGGTTGTTCGGTTCCTTCCGTGATCTGCCGCGATCAAACTTCTTCCGGCATGTTCACCATATAAATGCCCTCAATTTTCAGGGTCGAGAGTCTCCCTAGTACGAGACACTCTTGCCTTTTGACCACCATGTCCGCGCCCGACCAGAGCCCCCGCCCCCAAGACACCAACCGTGAGTGACGCCCAGGACGATTACCGCGACCTTTCAACCACGCTAACCATCCATCAGCCGTCACCGAATCAGCTGTCCCGGGAGCAAACCTGCCTGCCATCGACTGGCGGCAGTTCATGCCGTCAGTCAAGGTCTCTCCCATGGCTTGTCGTTCCAACTCACCACCTGCCTAGCCCCGAGGCTTACAACCAGATGTTGCGGCAGATGGCCGTCGACGTCCGCCAGATCCAACAGGTGAGCTCCGTCTTAAGCCCGCTGGAGCGAATAGTCACGGCGATCAATGATTGCCGCGTCTGTTCGCTTTGGCCTTCCATTCTTTTCACTAACGTAAGGGCTAGCCGGCGCCTGCGTCCTTGACCACCAACGCTCCAGTCGAGGAGTCGTCGCCGCCCAAGAAACGCAAGCGAGTCGTCGAGCCCGTACGTGTAATCTGTTTCATTCGTTTACTATGTTCTGATCGACCCCCAGGCGGCTCCAACCGAACAAGTCGCCGCCCCTTCGTCGTCCCGGCCTGCCAAGCAGAAGGGGAAGGGTGACGGCTCCAAGCCGCAGGCCCCTGCCGCCGTCGCGGGCAGCAAGGTCGCCGTCGCCAAGAAGTCGAGCGAGAAGTCGCAGGGGAAGCGACCCAAGGCGACTCCTGCAAAGGAGCCCAAGGCGTCGTCCCATGCGCCTACTCGTAAGTGGCTTTTTCATTTCATTCACCAAAGTCGCGGGTACTGATCTTGTCGTAGCCGCTACCTCGGTCCCTGTTCCACAGGGGTCACCTCCCAAGCGCGTCCACAAGAAGACGCACGCAGGTGTGTGATCCTATGTCTTATTTCATTGATCTTTAGACTAACCACTTGGTCCCTCCCAGCCCGGATCCAAGCACAGCCTGTGCAGCCCGAGTCCCTCAGCGATGAGGAAGCCGCCGCCGTCGCCGACACTGCGATGGATGTCGACGACGAAGGGGTCCAGGAGGGAGACGCGTCCTCGGCCGACGAGCTGGCCCTTCAGGTAAGTGACCCAGTTCGTCGATCGCGGTTCCTTCGTCTCATGGTTGGTTTGTTTTGACAGGGGCCCAAGTCCAAGGGGAAAGCGCGATCGAATTTGAGTGCGTTCCTCCTCTTGCCCCCTCTGTTGATTACTCACACTTTCGTAGCCCCGTCCGTCATCGTCATGGACGACACTTCCGAAAGTGGGGAGGAGACCGGTGACTTCGTTGTGGCCAAGAAGCAGGTCAGCGAGACCCGCGTCAAGCCCAAGGTGAGCCGGCTCCTTTTTCCAGACCACGCCCCTTAATCCAGCTTTTTAGCCAATCAAGAAGGTCGCGGATGGTTCATCCAAGTCGACCAAGTCCGTGCCTCCCCAACCGGTGCCGAAGGTGGAGGCCAGTCGCAAGGCGAGCGCCCCGCGAGCGACGACTACCCCGACCCCAGTGGCTAAGGTGAGACACAGACCTTGGTTCCCAGACGTCGACTAACTCGTTTTTCTTTCTTTTCTAGGTTGCCCAGGCGGCCCCCGCCGCTACCAAGACTCCACGCAGTGAGTTGGGCAGGGTGGCCGCGACCCTTGGTCGCGAGCGGAGTGTTGCGGCGGCCAAGGCCGAGCTCAAGGCTCAGAAGGCAGAAAAGTCCGTTGCGGCGGCCAAGAAGAAATCTGACTCGGTGAGTCGCGACTTTTTCTTGTCGTCGACTTTTTACTGACTTGACTGTTTCTAGACTCCTGCGAAGGCGTCGGCCCCCACGCCCCGAGCTCCGTTCACTCCCGCCGCCTACGACACCGAGGCGCTCCTTTCGGTGGCACGCCAAGGGTTCGCGGGGAAGTTGGAAAGGGCCGGCGTCGAGGTGCCAACCGACTTCGTACGTTTCTTCATCTTTTTCTGCCATGCCTCGACGACTGACTCCCTTTTTCATAGGAGGTCGCGCCAAGGCCCTGCGCGATGTGCGTGACGCGGCAGCGCGTCTGCTTCAAGAGCGTCGACGGGCGCCACGGCAATCGGTGCGCCCCGTGCGTGCTCTATAAACAGACTTGCACCAACGGCTACAAGCCCGCGGAGCAGCTGTATATGGGGCAACGCTTCGGGTACATCGCGCAGATGAGCGCGGACGGTAAGAGTCCACTCTTGTCATTCATTTCTATTTTTGATCGTTTCTGACGACGTCTTCAGATCTCAACAAGTCCGCCAACCGTCTCGCCGACACCTTGGACGCGTACGGCGGGCTTCTTCGCACGGCCAACGAGATCCGCGTCCTGGCCATTGGCCAGTTCCGTGATTTCGTTGGTCAGCTGAAGGAGCACTTCGACGACGGCTCGGACGAACGCATCAAGGCGATGTTCGTCCACACCGCGACCGAGATCGACGCCGCCGAGATGGCCGACATCCGTAAGGGTGTTCGGATGATCTTGTCCCGCGGGGACTTGTTGGATGGCGAGGCGAACGAGCGGTTCGCGGCGCCTCCCGCCTTCTTCGATCCATTTTTCTATCGCGAGATGGAAAAGATGGAGAAGCAGTTCCAGAGGGAGATCGAGAAGGCCCAGGAATTCGACAAGTCGGACCCCGCGACCATCCAGGATCAAGCCTTCCAGCCCCTCAAGGACCACGAGATCGACGTCGCGCACTTGGCGAGTAGTCGCACCCGTGCGCCCTCCTCGTCGCCCCAGCCTTCGCCATCGCCGCCTCCTGTTGCGTCGTCGTCCCAAGCCGTTTTGCAGGTCTTGGATTTTTCCGACAACTACAGCGAGACCTCGGCCGAGTCCACCAAGGCCGATTCGGGTGAAGACGCGGAGGGTGAAGAAGACGGGTCTGCCGGCGACGAGAACGCCGACGACGGGAAAGTCGACGACGAGAACGTCGACGACGAGAACGTCGAGGACGAGGGCTCCGTCGCCGCGGGTGAGACTGCCATGGAGGTGGATGAGCAGTAGTTCAGCTCGTTCCACCGTCCGTGAACGTCGCGGCCCGTTTTTATTTATTACATTGCATCAACGTATTGTCGTCGTAGAACCATCCAAATCTATCATTGCTGCTGCCTGAGTCGTCGTCGCGTGAACCTTTGAGT